TGAAAACATATGGAAGTGATTTAGGGTTATAAAATATTATTTGCATTATTCTAATACATTAAGACTGTCTACTCATTAACATTTTCCAATATAAGGTCTGTTGTCTTTTAAAATGTATGGATAGTACTTAACAGATGCCAAATAACTGACCCATTACTCCAATCATTCTCAGTTGTAATCTTCTCTTTATTTATAATTGCATTCCAATTATTTGTTTTTGAGATATTTTTAAAGAGGATGATTTGGGGAAAAACACATCTAAAACAGGTAAACATGATTTTTTTAAAAAAAATATTTGATAGTTATAATGGCATATGGACTGAAGTTTCAGTAAAAAAATTTCATGAATGACTATTATAATTCAGGCTATCATTAAAGAATAAATATGGTTTATATAGAGAGAAAATAGAAAGAAGTCAATTTATATAGTTAGAACTAATGTTTTATAGGAATATAAACAGTAAGCACCAAGAGTGGTAAGTACTTATATCATATGAATAAATGATTTGGTGAGACTAACCTCTCTTCTTATAATGTTTGATTTCTTAATCTAACAGGATATTTAGGACAGTATTGAAGTTTCATGAACAAGTAAAATAAAATTAATATATTATAGACCATGTGAAGCTGAAGTGCATAGAAAATAGGGTTCTAAATGAATGTATTGAGATAGGCCTATAAAATGTTTCCAGTTGCAGATGTAAATAAAGGAACAAAAAGCAGACACATGTAAATAAATATATGTAAAGAAAGGAACAAAAAAAGCAGAAAGAAATGTACACCAGGATCCTATTAATTAAAAATCTATAATTTCATTAAGCGAATAGGAAACAATAAAAAGAGGAAAGGTAATTATTTATGGCCCCTATTCTATGTAACAGATATTTAACATAAATTAACCTGTTTAGTTCTTAGAACAATCCTGTAAATTATGTACTGTCATTTTCATTTTACTAACACATGAACATGAAATATAGAGAAATTAAGTAACGAGGCCAAACTTTACTCCTTTATTCAACACTATTCCAGGTGCTTGAACAACATCAATGGACAAAAACATCTCTTTAATTCAGCTTACATTTTAGCCAGGAAAAAGAGAAAACAAGTACATGAATAAAATGTATAATATTTTAGAACATAATGAGTACTATGGGGAAAAAAAGGAAGTGCAGGTAAGAGGGGATCAGAAATCCTTGGATGGTGGGAGTTTGCACTTTTAAACAATATTTGCTAAATCTCCTTGAGAGGGTGACATCTGAGAAAAAAAATGAAGTTAGGGAGTTAACATGTGGCTCTCAGAGAGGGCATTTGAGGCAGAGGGAAACAGCTGGAATGAATAAGGTGGGCTCCTGCCTACATGGGCATGGTAGAGAAGTGGCAATTTGTCTGGAGCAGAGGGAGCAAGAGGCAGAGTGAAGGAGGGAACAGGCAGAGTTATTGGGAGGGGAGCATAACAATTGGGACCATGTGGATCATTGTGAGCACTTGGGTTTAGAACAGGGGTGGGCAAACTTTTTGACTTGAGGGCCACAATGGGTTCTTAAACTAGACCTGAGGGCCGGAACAAAAGCATGGATGGAGTGTTTGTGTGAACTAATATAAATTTAAAGTAAACATCATTACATAAAAGGGTACGGTCTTTTTTTTTTTTTTTAGTTTTATTCATTTCAAATGGGCCGGATCCGCCCGCGCCATAGTTTGCCCAGGGCTGGTTTAGAATCTGAGTTACTAACATTAGGGAGCAGAGTATCTTGTAAAGCTTGTAGAACATGATTATACAGACAGTCTTCCATTTATGATGGTTTGACTTACGATTTTTCGTCTTTACAATGATGCAAAAGCAATAAGCATTCAGCTGCCACTGTACTTCGAATTTTGAGCTTTGAGCTTTTCTGGGCTAGCAATATGCTGTATGATATTAGTTATGATGCTGGGCAGTGGCAATGAGCCCCGGTTCTCAGTCAGCCACGAAATCGCGAGGATAAACATCCAATGCTCAACTGTGTACTGTGTTCCCAGGGTTTGTTACATGTTTTGTTTTGTGCTTTTTTTTCCCTATCCCATCATGTCTACAAAACATTCATCTATGTCTCCTGCTTCTGATGAGAAGAGGCAGGCAATTACTGTATGCAAGCAGTGCTCCCTTCTCCTCGTATGATATGGTTTGAAAATGTATTAGTGGGTACATCTGTACGTCCAGAACACAGTGCTAAATGATGCTCACCTGAGCCCATGCTTTCTTAATGAAAAACAAAACAAAACAAACAAACAAAACAACCATTAGGCATACAGTCAAGAGATAATAGGAAAGCTGTTTGTTATCTAAGAGCTGCATAGCCAAATGAAGGACCGCTTTGTAAACAGTAAGGACAAGGAACACTTTGCTAGAGAAAGCCAAAATCAGATCTGGCTCAGAAATGTAAAATCAGACTTTGAGTCTCTGGTACATTCCACTCACGTCTATCCCTTAAGACAGCTGAGCTTCATTTTCTTCATCTGCAAAATGGGAACGAAGACATAAAACTTGCCCAAGAATGAATGCTGTGAGGGCCGAATGAGATAACACGGTGCACGGTTTTTGAAACCATAAAGTTCTGTGCACATGTTAATTAGGTAACAAATGTTGAAACAGTACCTGCAAGATTATATGGCTTCCGTCATGTTAATCAACTTAAGGTTGCTTAGAAAGATCAGGCTTTTAGAGATTAGAAATAAAACTCAGATTAGGTTAGATGCCGGGAGTCTAGGCAAGTGATGAAATCACAGCAACTGTAGGTTATCCGTTTCTTTTCCAGAAGGTCATTTGCTGTTCTATTGCTTTTTGTTACTAGCAATCAAAAGGTGCCTCTAAATGACTCCAGCTCCTGGAGAGGTGGTTGTTTTTGCCTTTGGTCCCAACACTGTCCTTACCCGACCCCTGCCCTCAACGTCTGAACAAGCTTCTAGGGAGGAGTCATCTGCCAGCTTGAAGGATAGGATGGGTTTACCAGCCCGAGTAGTGGATGTGTGGTAGGTAGTTAGACATGAACAGAGCAAGGACGATAGGCCAAGTACAGAAAGTCACCAGG